CCTAACCCTAACCCTAACCCTAACCCTAACCCTAACCCTAACCCTAACCCTAACCCTAACCCTAACCCTAACCCTAACCTTTAGGGCGGAAATGTTTGACACCCGTACAGAACATGTAACCTTGTTTCTCGAGTCAGTGAATGCTAGCTGGGCAGACCTACCGTAGAAATTTAACATCCTTGCGCGGAAGTTCTCGCATTCTTCGCCAATATTCGGATTCCACTCGTTTAGGTCTCTTGGATTGATTCCGAACCAGAAAGCGTAGTCCGCGCAACTCCACCCGGGCTCAACAATGGTCTCCCGGATGCAGTAATCGGTCATATCTGGCCAACGGCGCTCGTCGGGCGCAACGCAGTAGCGGTATCCACCTTGGAGCTCGCAGGCACTCTCGAGGCCGGGCGTGATTGAGAGATCTGGGTTCCACTGCTCGAATTCGTCCACGTTGATGTCGTAGATTTCGGCGACATCCAGGCAGTCATATGTGATCGTTCCGTTCAGTTCAATCGGAGCCTCTGCGTAGTTTGCGCAGTCCTTAAGTGTTCCGTTCGCCAGGGGCTTCAGCGCGCCAAGGTTAGGAAGCAAATCTGCGCGTGTTGGGCTCGGCATTGCTTCGAAAGTCTCGAAATCCACAGTGGGTGTGCTTTGTGACAATGTCAACCAAACCGTACAGTAAATTTAGACTTGTAACTAAACTCACGGGTGAATGGCGGTTGTCTTTGGCGAAGGCATGTCGACCTCATCCTCGGGGAATAGGTGCACCCAGGATCCTCCGGGATTCGAGGCGCAGAGAATGTAGCCTCTGGACGCAAAGTTATCGATGTGTTCGCAAGCCTCGCCGAGTCAGGGTTTCAGGTTACGACCTGCGTCCAGCTGATGTCGTTCTTCGACGCTACGTCGCGACATTTGTCGCCCTTGACCATCTCGAACGTCTTGCAGGAGATGTTGTCGGGAATGCAGATCGTTCCAGTACGAGGGAAGTTGGAACAGAACGCCGGAAGGTGGTTAGCAGCCAGGAGCTGCGAGGTACTGATCTCACGGCTCTTGGAAATGCTCAAGCAGGTGTCACCAGACTGGATCGTGTATGTGGTTCCCAAGCATTCGGGAGTTGATGTAGGCTCAGAGGTCGGGCTTCAAATGGGGTGAAATCAGTCTAAGATCATGCATCTCCATAGATAACTCAATTGTGATAGGGAAGCGACTGACGGTACTGCCCAGGTTGACTCTACTGGAGTTGTAATGGCTATCGTAGTGCTACCGTAAGATGCAGTTAAAGAAGATAACTTCGATACCATTAATTCGTCAGTCGCAAGGGGTTGTTGAATGCGCAACGCAATGCTCGAGAGGAAACAATTGTCGCAGGCAAGAGTCGGCTCTGTACTCGTTTGTGTCAGTCTCTGCCAGCAGATTGGTCATAAGAATTTTCAATCCACCTGGGGCCGCTGAAGTTGTCATCGCTTCTGGATCGATGTGAAGAGCGTCACGAATCGCGGCGTTGCATCTTCGGCCAGACCTTCAAAGAGAGTTAGTGTGGAACTGTCAGCGCAATAATGCCGAGGCTGCAAAGGCAAGTTAACTTGAACTTACAAGTCCTGGAGACAGACAGCTTGGTACGCCTCATAGCGCTCTTGAAAGTCGTATGTAGCTAGATACGACCATTCTTCATGGTTAGTATACCTGCTGGTGCCGCATGCGCCGGCAATTCTCCGCTGATACGTCGTGAGAGCGGTAGTGCACGCGGTTGTGCATAAAGATTCCAATACCGCATCAGTTTCGTAGAACGCTACATCAATGTCCAGAATCACAGCGCACAGTCGACTCCTTGATTCAGCACCTGGATACAGGAGCTGGAAAGGCCTTCCGGAGTGTTTGTGAGGTTGGCAAGATAGACAAGACCCACTGCCATGGGAATATGGCTAGCCGTAAGGGCCAAAAAGCCAGCAAGAACACGCATTTCTGCTCAAGAGTGAAGAAACAATAGACGATGTGGGAGAAAACAGAAAAATTGGTTTCGAGGGCTCGGGAGTGGACAAGTCGAAGAGTCTTCAATCTCTATGGCTCGAGGATGTGCAATCCCTTGAACCGCTAGCAGACTCCAAATAACGATCAGTGAGCAGGCACCTCATTTTCCCTCAGAGGATCATCTCACGGAGTCTTACTGTTCCAGGTAATCTAGTGAATGATCTGACGTTCATGGCTTCGACTTTCGACGTCACATTCAAGTGGCCCCTTGCCCCTGTTGGCGGCATAAGATGAGCGCTCCGCCGCCCTTACAGCGTACATTACATTGATGTAGCTTACGCCAAGTATCTTGGCGGGAAGTGCCACCAGCGACACGATGTAGAGTTACAAATCCTATTTCCATCGTTACATTGTGTCATTCTGGCCCCGTGGAAATGGATGCCTGGTAAATCCGTTCACGTTCCGTTATTCTGCATGCCGAGAACGTGGCGATGTCGGCTCATAGCTTGTTTGGGTAAGTCAGCCTGCGATACCATCAAACCCTGGGAACCGACTTATCACATTGCGTCTCGAGTCTCTCTAAGCTCCAATAGAGATCGTCAAGTCGAGAAGGATACTATCCTATTGCCCACGCCTGAATAAACCTCTTTCCAAGTCTTTTACAAACAAATGTTCATGCCACTCATGCAGCAAGTCTCTTGTATCAAGTCCTTCAGACCATCTGAACTTCTCCATTATGGAGCTGCCTACTGCGCTTGATCCGCCTTGAACGAGACTACTATCCTTGCAGGCTATAGTCTTTCTCCTGTCGTTATTCACGCTATCTGCTTTTTGCTCAAGCCTGACACCCGTGTCCCCAAATCCATCTGTTTCCGGGCATCTTCTTTCAGAACGTCAAACCGGATGCTCTATTGAAAACCCAGCTCCGTCAACTGGCCCGACAGAGATTTCTCCGCTACCAGCTGCACGATTTTAGGCAAACCAGGCAGTCTATTTATGGTACCCGAAGAGGCTGACGGTGCGACGCTCATGGTCGGCACACAGTTTCCGCACCCAGAGCAAAGCCGAGAGGGCTGGCAAACGTTAGCCGCCAGCCCCGAGTCCTTGGTTACACTGCTGCAGAGGGACTATGCTGAATGACATGGTACGGCGAGACACATCCTCGATCAGCTATGCAGCCGTTCAACCCGCCTTTTGAGTTGGCCGTTTTATACAATGCCAACTTGTCTAGTTGGTCGTCATCTTCGGGAAATGTCATAATTATTGGAGACGCTGCTCATGCTATGCCAGCATCCTCGGGACAGGGTGTCAATCAGGCCTTGTAAGATGCCTACTCACTAGCAAGGCTCATCTCTGTAAATTGGACCCCGGAGAAATGACCCCTTGGCCTTGAGACCTGGCAGTCTTGGCGACAGACTAAAATCGACCGGGTGCTTCTAATGACCCAAGCCACAAATTTGAAGAGATCTGCTGAAGGGGCCAGGCAGTCTTCGATGACATCAGCTGGTGCTGAATCGGCCCGCCTAGATGGGACACGGTGGTTGTTCGACTTAGACTTGAATGGTTTCGAGGCAAGGCTGGCAGATATCAGATAAAGTTAGGCCTAGCGAACATCTAGGTATGAAATGTATCTACATGCTCAGTCAACGTCACATAATTTGGTAAAGCGCTCTATTAATAGGTGTGCCCCTTACATACTCGATGACTGTACTGTCAAAGAAACAATGCTACGGACTTTTGCTCAAGCATCATTTTAAGAACGAGGCTAAAGTCGTTATTACCGCCATTGTGAGACTTGGTGCAAGATCATGAAGAGCATTCCGACTCTTCCATTGTTCCAGGCCTCCACGCGTTTCTTGTTATGAGCCCTTATGTATGATGGAGAAATCAGGACTCCATCCCTTCCACGGCTGTTTGCAGAGCACGCAGGGGGTTGAAGCTGCCCCATGGCCGTTAACCCCGAGACGGCTGAGCTGTTAATGCGGGGCCGTGGTACACTTAGAGGCGATGTGCCAATGTGACACTAAAGCATCTTCCATATCGTAATGAAGGAAACTCGGAATAGTTGCAATGATGATTATAATATTGTCATCACTTTTGGTGACTGCCCGCACATGTGGACCTATTGTGTGAAGCTTTCGACAACGAGATCGATGCGAAAGTCCTTGATGGAATCGACCGCCTGAGTATTAGTAGTCACCGGGCGTATGGAAACTCGATGAGCAGTCCCGACTGTACCACATTTTGTTGGATCGCAGGGTTGGCTGTTTGGAGGGTGTCGAACACCGTGATAGTGTGAACGTCTAACACGAACTTCATATCAATTGACCTTAGTGAACATACTGTTCTTTTCCGTACACCGTACTTTTTCCTAGTCCCTTCTTCTTTCGCTTCTTTACTCGACCGACCCACCCATGTATTGCTGGCAGCAGAAGAACCCAACCTAAGGTATGTGCTTGGAAAATATGACCATGTCAACCGACATGCATAACCAGTGTTTTGAAAGAGGGGTAAAGCGTCAAATAGTTGAAAGACATGAATGACTCGATACATGAACTTTTTCAAGAAAATTGATCTTGACAAACGAAGAAATAGCACAGGCCTCAGTCATATCTCGATATCAGCAAACGGCTGAATATTATGTCAGTAACACCTCTAGCGCCCGTCATGATAAGCTTGCAGTCTCAGTCGATCAATGAACTAGCTAACAATCGCCGTTGATAAACAAACAAGTTTTGAATGACACTGGTCACAGGGACTGTAGAATTGATGATTTCTCCAGCACAATGAGGACGCGACGTCAGATGTCAACAGCGTTAATGGCAGCTCGTTGCGTCTTCCAAGACTTTTTACCTGGGACTCATGGCCTTTTGCAAACCACAGCATCCTCGTCGACTAGCCTCGCAAACTCAATCTACAATTTTCGCGTAGAGAATGGGCGCACGTATCACAGGTACGAGTGTGGAGGTAAGCTTGTCCTGTGATTCTTCTTACGCAGCAAATTATCGTGACCACTCATGTATCTCTCTGACTCGCAAAGAATATTCTCATCCCAACAATGAGAGAAGTTGACAGACTGGGTAGGTATGTAGATTTATCTGGCCTCGACTTCCTGAAAGTCGAACGTTCCTCATGAATCTTGCAGACCTACAATAGCATCAATTTCTCATTTTGGAAAGCTCGGCCTTTCGCCACCGAACAGGGGTTATTACCCCGTCAAGCATGTTCTCGAGATTGGCACCGGGACTAACTAGTGTTTGGACAATTGAGTTCGGCGAGCTCAAGCCCGAAATAGAATTTAGGGCAGATATCAGTCCAAATCAAGATATCGATTCGCTGGTGATGGCCTTGGGTCATTGGCGTCGACTTATCTCCTCCTTTATCTGAGTTAGAATCCCCGTCCAACAACTGTGACTTACTATATGACTTTCTGACTCAGTCAAGAGTGCCGCCCAACGTAACATTCCAAATGAATTACATCGAAGAACAGTGGACGTACTCCTTGCTATTTGGCTACATTCACAGTGGAATGATGACCTCCAGCATATGTGGCTGAACACGATTCATCCAGACTGTTTTTGAGTGCGTATCTTCGTTGGCCCTTTCATCCCAAGTCCCCTTTCACAAATTTTAACCAGACAGGGAGTAAAAGCAATCTCACGCCCGGTGGGTACCTTCAGCTCCCGGAGATGGGTCTCATACCCCGATATGATGACGGCGGTTTGAAATCCGACACTGCGATTGTGTGATGCTTTGCTCTGCTTTGACAAGCGGCTATAGTACTCAACCGTTCGTTCCAAGACATTAAACATCTATGCATAATGACCTTGGTAAGTTTCCCACATCACTTGCCCCCGGAGATGAAGTATCCTCTGGACAAAACTCACTTGCTGATTAGTTTGCCGTATAGTTATGCACTACATGTAAAGAAACCAGGACCTGGATGACAGGTGCATCTGTAAGTTCTTGGGACAGTGCAAAGTTTCCGGTGAAACAAACTGCGTCATGTCAGCCACTCCAGTACGTCTGCATCAAACTGAGCATGTGAATTCATAATTCATTGGTCATACGATTCTTCACTATAACGAGAAGGGAGTCTTTCGAATTGGAAAGATGTGAAAAAATTGTTTGCCTATGCTCCAGTCTTTGAAGTAGGAGTCCTCGACCTATCGGTCGTCACAGAGTGTATGCTACCTTTTGAGGAACTTCCCCTGTTCCACATCTGGAACTCCCTAGCTATGTCGTCGAGCCCGGTATCGACTGGCGATAATGAAAGTTCCGTTGATGGATCGTCTGAAATTTTACTGAACTTGTCCCTCCTATAAGTCGGTTGGTATTCTTCGAAAGGCGTTGCATCCGTCGTTTTCTTTGGCTTTCTCCTAGCCAAAAACCGCAATAGTGGCCGAAGCGCAGGAAGGCTTGCACACAGAATTGCACAAGAGACTTCAACGAGAGACCAATTGATAACATCTACGTTGTCCCAGGTAACATCAGATGTGACCGAAAGATGGACCAGATATTTCAACCGGACCATGCTAGTAACGCATCCACTGAGGTACCAATGAAATGGTTAGTCGATTCTTTCGAAGAGTCCTGGGGGCTGGTTACGTACAATGACCCTAGCCCAAATATCAAACTGAGCCATATTTTCTTCTTGGTACTAAGCTGCAGTCGAAGAAGCTCAGGAATTGGGAGGGCAAGAATAGCAATGTCCTCAATGACGCTGAACACTGCGCCGGAGTAACCAATCGCTGCAATATTCATGCACTTTCGAGATGGATCATCAAGATCCCAGGTCGACGTGATGGGTGTACATTCGAAAATGACAAGGAAGAGAAATATTGCCGCGTGCAGAATCAAAAATAATATGAAGAGCTGGGTCGTAAGGTAGAACCATCGAGAAGAGAAAAATATTCGCGAGAAAAAGAGGAGCAGTGAGACCTTTGCCAGGATCTGGGCCAAGATATAAAGTTGTTCGCCGATGTAGAACAT